TAATGTTTGTAGTTTTTTGTGCATTATTCGTACGGCGGAGTTTAATTGTGGATGTCTTAGGAGTCCAAATAAGGTGGTCGAATTAGCTTTAAGGTGTTCGTTTTTACATCCAAGTCGATCAAGACAACAAAACCTCGAATTTAAGGTGTGCAGATGTGTTGTATCGTATTTAATAAAGTGTACTTTGTTTCTAAACTTATAACTGAGTGGAGAGCGTCATTTTGCTTAAGGACTGTCTATTTTGGTGTGACCACCAATATGATTAAGACAAAATTTCCTTCAGTGTTATTATTAGAGTGGTATTTTCAGAACAATGAGTCGTAGAGATTCTACAAGGCAAATTTGTAAAATTTAGAATGGTGTTTCTTTCTTCTGTAACATGTTTTTCAGTGTTTTCAATTTTCTTCCATTTGGATGTAGATAAATATTCTTACTATCACTATTTGTCTACTCTAGCATTTTTGGTTAGATGACTGTTATTTATGGAAGTTTCATAAGAAAATTATAAAACTGAAACAAACTACTCTGACATTTCTGACTTAGTGATTGTGAAATGTATTTATCTAACTACAATGAATCAACTTAATCCATTTTTCCTCTATTTTTGCAATAACTGTATTTATGCAGGTTTGGGTTCGATGTCGAAGTATGTAAGATATTTTAATTGCTATAAAATGATATATATTCTCGTATAATGCAAAAAATTGTGAAACACGTATACCTTTCAGGTGACGTTTTATCTCGTAGTTGTCTCATAAAACTTCAAAAAACCCCAGTGTAAAAATATGCATCATATTTCGGTTATTTTGCAATAATAAACTTACTGCGGTCATTGCCGCTGATAATTCAGTAGGAAATAAACCGTATCATGACATCTAACTAATCGCTATAATAAAACATATCATCCTCGTTTATGAAGATTGAGTCAAATTTGTTGTTTTTAAAAATTTCGACAAATACGTTGCCCAATTTTTCGAGAAATTATTATTAAATAATTTCTCGAAAAATACTGCATATTAAATTATATATTTAATATGCAGTATTTTTTATGTTTTCTGGACGGTTCATGACCCCTAGAAAATAAAAAAGTGGATCTTCCGTTTTCGTCTGTCTGTTGCTTGTGTCGATATTTTTTTCGATAGATAATCTGCGAAACTACTGGGATGATTTTTGTGAAATTGTACATGGATGTTAGGAATATCGTCTAGATTGTAAAATGCTAATCAAAATTTGTCTTATAATCCCCAGTAACAACTTGATGACGTCACCTCAAAATTTTACATGGTAAATACTAGTAAAATTTACCTTGATTTTTTTCGTGATTATTTGAATTGTTTCTGTTTAATCCTTCTAATAGTAAAGCTGTTTTTTAAATGCAGAGTTGGAGGTGCCGAGTTCGTTCGCCGACATGTCTTGCTTTTTTACTTGTACTTTAACACACGTCATTATTTTAACTTATCATTATCATAAATTAAAAAATGAAATTTATAATTCTAGAAGAAGCTGTCTAAATAATCGTAGACCAATTTTTATTTATATGTTTAGTTATAATTACAACACACACTTTACCGTTGGGTGTCATGTTACTACATTTCCGTGTTAATTATGAGCTAATTGCCAACAATACCTAATACCTCGAAGTTGTTTTCTTTGTAAATATGTTGGAAATAGTTTTATTTATTTTTATAAAGCGACCTACAATAGGTGTGGAATTAGTAATAGAACACACCCTTTTAGTTTTAATGACCTTTTCATTAATATACCATATAAACAGTAATTGGAACGAGTATATCACGCATTGACTATCCTATTCAACTATTATATAATATTTTTTAATGTGATTTTTTTCCTGCCAACATTGTTTCCGTACGTGATTTCATTCTTCTATTGAATAATTTATACGATCTGTCCATAAAACCTAGAATAAATTCGGAAAGAAAATCAGAAATGAGATTTTTACTTCCCGAGCGTAAGCGAGTATATCGGTCGGTGTTTAGAGTACGAAAAAAATAGGTACTAGCCCCGCCCACCCACCCTCTCTTTTCTTAGAGGGTATGTCATTTGCCAAAATCAGTTTTATCTTGGCAGCTACAATCCCCACCAGCCCTCTGTTTTCTTAGAGGGTATCTCATTTGCCAAAATCACTCTTATCTTAGCAAGTACTAGCCCCGCCCACCCACCCTCTCTTTTTTTGGAAGGTATGTTCATTTGCCAAAATCAGTCGTATCTTAGCAGCTACTTTTCTTAGAGAGTATGTCATTTGCCAAAATCAGTTTTATCTTAGCAACTTTTACAAAAAATGATTAAAATTTGGAACCATTACGAGTTTACGTATATGTATGCACTAGGCAGGAATTTTGAACATCTTCTCTAGTAGTATTTTGTTTGTAATTTATAAATATCTTATTAAATGTTTTTTTTTTTAGTTTATTTATTAATGAAAAATACCAGCTTGTTTTATTAATAATAATGCACAACGATTAATGACTACTGGTTGTTACGGTTATTGTCCTAAAAAAATTAAAAGGTGGATTTCAGTCACCATCGTTATTAAGAAATTAGAAAATAAGCCGGAGGTATTCACGTATTAGGTGCGTGCAGTGTTGCCAATTTTACTTTTATAAAATTACGTTTTTTCTACCACCGAAACCCCCTGCAGAACCTACTTAAGAGTTAATCTGCCATTTTTCCGGACACCCGGTATAACAATTGCAATTGCATTTTAAATCTGTCAAACCGAATGTTTTGAAATTTTGCAAACGCTGATTTATTTACTCTGTTCCTTAAAATTGATGACAGCATCTCAGAATTTTGCCGAATAAATCATATCTAAAATGTGCAAGATGTGCTTTGTATTCGTATTTTTTAGAATACAGGGTGACTCAAAAAAATTAATGAATTAAAAACCGAGTGCTTTGGAATCGTGCAGATGTTCCAAAGTAAGTAAGCATGGTAAATTTCTGTGCAAAATATCTGTTCATTTCTGTTGAAATAACCTTCGACCAATTTTTTACATTTTAAAAAAACAAAAATTTGAACCATAAAAGTATTCGTAAAAATTTCGTTACTTCATATATTATCATTTTGTATAAAACTAGAAAAATAATAGTAAAGAAGTCATGAATCCTCTGGATTTGCTTCGTTCTACTCTCCATAAAAAAATAATGTTGCTGCTACGCGTCTCTTAATCCAACTATTCCGAAAAATATAATCTAGAGAGTGCTACCTACAGTCAACAGCATAACGAGCACCATCTTGTGGAAACCAAATTTAGTCATCAGGGAGATCTGGATCTTCGTTATTCGAAAATGTGACCGACAGACAGTAATTTTAAATAAATTATTTTTCCCCTAACTATAGCTGAATGTCCAGTTGTTCCGTCGTCTGGATATTGGGGTGTGGAATTCGTGTATTCATCGAGGATTTACTGAAAAAATTAAATTCTGTACAATTTTTAAACTTGAAGGATTTCTATGTCAAGCGCTGCAAAAATATTTCATATGGTAAACTGTTAAATTTATTAATCGCCAAAAAGTCACGCAACTTCTTAAATTAACCAAATTCGTTGTATCACAATGGAAACGTGATTATAATACGACTATATTTGTTGCAAGTTGCGATTGTTGCAGACCTCGTTTCCACCTGATGTTTCTTTTGATAGCATCTGGTTAAATTTTTCACTTTTATTAATTATTTTTAAATAGTCCTGACGTTATTTCTTCAGCACCCTTTTCCGTCTGGACGGCTGATGTATTGCGAATTAATTTTACTTCGAATACGCATAAATTACCCGTTGGTAAAATTATTTATGTAGGTGAATTTTTAACACCTACGGGCAGCAGTATATCTTAAGACGCGTTCGATATTTCACGTGTGTGACTATTTCAACAAGTTCTTTCTCGTTAAAGCTGGCACACAATGAAAAAACGTAAAGTTTTGAATGCCGTAATCAACTCAACAAGAGAGGCTGTCGCAAGTTTGCTCAGGACCATTAGGAGTTTTATTGCGTCGTTTTTCACCAAATCCAATAAGTAGGTGTTTTCGGTTTTTTCGCCAACTTTCACATTTTTTTTCATTTTGGTAAGTTAAACCCTTATTAATCACGTCTACGACTTAATTTGTGCGTCGAAAATCTCTTGTCGAACAAAGATTGGGTAAAGTTTGTTTCGTAATGTCCAACATGCAAAAAAAATGTGGCAGGTTGCCCGGAACTTTGTTATTAAATTATTTCTGTTTTATAGTTCATGACAGTTTTTCGATTAAAGTACGGACGAAAAAAACAGCGTTGTGGGTAAAATTGCACGAGTTTTTTTGACGTGTTTTTATTAAGTCGGACGTGTTTTTGAAACGATACCGGAACGGATATATCGGAGTAATCATTGTTCCGGCTTTGGTTTTTCTAGTCGTTCGATGGAGAAATAATACGTTCCCTCGTAAAATAATACTCTTTACTGGTAGTTCGTGGGCGATCCATTCATATATCCAATCTTTTTAATTTGGCACTACATTCTGCACGCCAAATGCATACCAAATAAATAATCGTCAATAAATCCGATTTTTCGCTAAACCCACGAACCATAACCGGAATGAGACAATTTAGTCGTCGTTTTTCCATTCCTCCTAGCAGCATTCTTTCTTAGATTTGCTTCTCATATCGTATTTGTGAGAAAGGAAAGGTCGACCGGTAGACGTACAGACAATTATCGAAGTGGAAATACCGTTATCCTTATTTGGAATAACTACAAGGATTCAATAGATTCATCCATCACAACCCATACATCCTCTCTGTCTGTTTTATAGGTTTTTGGGCTTGCCGCGGCAGAATTTTAGTCCGGTAAGTTGTGTAAATCTGCAAACCTACTGTTGGTGTGTATTTATATAAAGCGGTAATATCTCACTCGTTTGTATGTCGTGATAAAACCATTTCGCTTCGTGAAAACTATGATTCTAGTTATTTTTCGATTGAATCGACTCCTAGTCGGTCGGTTGCATGTCCGCTAATCGGTTGGATTGCGAGTAGTCACTCTTCGCGAAAAATGTGATTCTAACCAAGCAAGATAAAAAGATAAGTGGTGCGTCGTGCTGATAAAACCCCAACTGTTTTAAATTTTATTCCAACGTCAACCTATGCGCGTAAATATAGACACCCAAGACACTAATAGTGAGAAATTTCACTTTTGTTTCACAGTGTGGCATAAGCGTCCTTTAGTGTAACACGTGTTCTTGTGTGTAAACAGAGGTGGATAAAAGCTCGGGATTGTGCAAGTTTGACAAAAGTGGCCATCGACCATAAAGTAAGGAATTTGAGGTTTTTTTTCAACCGCTGGGGTTGAAATTATTTGACCGCAGTCACAGGAGTGCTAAAACTGGCAAACTTTTAAATGAGTTGTAGATGAATAATGGCTAAATCACTAATAGCGGTTAGTCATCTGGTTGAATAAATTTTAAATTGCGAGAACGAGATTCTCATTTAAGTCTCATATCTTAGTTTATCAGCACGAAATGCTAATTACATTATTTTAATTGTACATTTGTGGAAGAGGCGACTTGTTTATTTACGCAAGATAGTAGAGGAATGGTGCTTTGATTGCTATGTATTAACGATTAAAATTATCGTTAAACATGCTGATAAGACGTTAGTAAAGCTGAAAACCAGTACGAAATACGTAAACTGAGTGTGATTACACAAATGACGAACGAGTCCTTAACCCTAGAGTAAGACAAAGTATTTTTTGTTATTCTCCATTTGTTTTCGATTAATTAATTATCATAAACGAGTTTGCGCTTGTAATCATTGGTTTACATCATTGTCCCGATGTTTCGCAACGTTTTCCATCTACCTACACGTGGTTTTAAACTATTTGGAGTGTAGAAAGTGTAATTGGACGAAAAAAGTCTTCACAGATTATTCAGGTCAGGTGATCTCGAATTTCCGTAACGGCTTTTTGGGCGGGTTTTAATTTTCAGAATCGTCACTTCGCGTCTCGTTATAAATTAATTAAAATAGCGCTTCCGTATTAAATGTGCTTTGGACTGAAACCAGGGTCGGACAGTTCCACTTTATAACCGTTTTGAGACCGTGTTATTTTAGTATGTGCAGGAAATTGCTACAAGATCTAAAAATTCGATTCAAACTTTACTTATATTTTGTGCCTAAAATAGATTACTACTTTTCCAATTTCCGCCGACGAGTTTCAAAATTCAATTGCTACAATGTCACTCCAGTAGACGTAAATATTTAATTTATAGATGGCGCTTGTACTACTTATGTTAAACTTGTTTGTTTAGGACTGCGGATAAACACTCGACCGTTAATAACATTTAGTCGTTGCCGACATTTTTCAGAAGTAATGTCATTTCTTATATCTCGATGTTTTCCTTGCTTGGTGCTTTATATGCATACCGAACGTTGTGACGCGATTCATTTAATATCTTTTGTGTGGATAGGTATTGGTAAATGTCCTGAATTTTAAAGACGTGTCAACGTTAATTTAAATTTACTTGGAATATCGTTAGGTAATTTAATTTCTGAATATTAGAAATTGAATCGTCCAAAAATATGGATTTTTGTTAAATAAAAATGTGTATATTGTTTTCTTAGCTTCAACGTTGATAGGAACTTTCATTTTTCATTTTGTTAAAAATTATTTTGGTATGAAATGAATATTATTTTGTTGAGTATTTGAATCCTTTGTTACGGATTGTTGAGTATAATTCATGTTTTGTACCTAAAGGTCCATTGTTCCTTGTAAAATGTAAGTTGTGAGTTTGATGAGCAAGATTTTAGAACAATTTTGATACAATAAAAGTAAGACATGTTTTTCACTTGAATTTTTTGGGGTGTCATTGACAAATTTAAATATATTATACGACAAAAAAGACCCACAAAGCAGTCGACTTTCCATTAAAAAAATAGCGATGACGTTATAAGTAATATCACGTTGTTGCGACTTTTTGACGCGATTATATTTTTTCTGAAATTTTCAATTTGTGAATTGCCTTGCAAATCTTTATTATACGCAGACTTGAAACTTCTGGCGGATGAAGAAATGGAGTTGACTTAGATTACATTATAATGATGAAATGCGCGCCATTTTTTTATCGAGTCTGGTGATCTTCCCACACAATCTAATAACTAAAGAGCGTCAGCTAACACAAAACTGGAGAAGTGGTTACTTACCATTTTTCGTTTGTCAAAAAATAGCAATGTAAATATCACATTATACAATTTCAATGTTAGCCAGTGGTTGTGGACCAAAATTGATTAAATCGTCTGTGTCTAATAAATTTGACAAAACGTTGTAACTTACATGGCCATACACCTTTTGTAGCAATTGCTTCTCTTCGCCACAATGACTAATTTCACACCCACCTGAAAACGTGACGTACCTATTTCATACATTTTCAGCCTTGTCGTTTCAACAATAAACCGTCGATATTATTCTATCGAAGTCGAATACAAATTACCTGAACAAGATTGTTTTCGTCCGTCTACAAATATTTAAAAGTTGACGTATTGTTTTAAAGTGTATATAACGAACTCCTGTGGTGCGATCAGTTTATTATATTGAATAAAATGTGTGCTTCCTACCTACTACAACGTGATGGTAACATTGCCACGGTACGATTTGTGCATGATAGGATTTTTTGCCTTAGTCTTCCACGATGCTGGAGCTGGTAAAGAGAGCGAGTATGGTCGGTGGTCCAACAATGTGTAGCGCACAATACGTAAAATACCGTAAACGCGATAAAAGTGTTAAACCTAACATAAATATACGACCCAGAAGTTTGTTATGTGGTGGAAACTCGGAGGATATTTACAGCAACAGCATACAGCAACAGAGTAACACGTGGAAGTTTCACAGACCCAGGCCGAAGTCCTTCAGGTAACATAATTGAGTTGTTTGGAACGCCTTGCGTTTGACACTTTTGTTTTCCGCTCTCGCAGTAATACGTACGATTATTTTAATCGCATTTTTCTCCCAAAGTTCAAATACCTCGCTGTTTAAAAATATCCATTAGAGCCAGTAGCCGCAGATTTGGATCGTGGACGGGTAAATTTAGAACGCAGAGAGATTATAAAAAAGGAACCGGCAGATCTTGAACCGGCGATAATTTGTGACAAAACATCCTAGTTTTATTACGCATAAATTTATTTTCATGCTTACTTACCAACAATAAAGTCGTAACGAGCTTATAATTAGATAAGGAAAAGTCGTTTATAAAGTGTTTAAAAAGCTGGTTTATTTTTGAGGACCTCTCAGCTTCGATTGAGTCACTTGCCAAAGGCCATAAATTATGAGATTGAAAATATAGATAATGTTAAATTGCCGTGACGATAATTTTGACCTATAACACAAAATTTTATATTCAAATTTTTTAAACGATGGGAGCATTAACCGCTGAATTTACAAAATGCTCTGAAAAGATAAATTCACTTGAATATCATGAGGAAGTTTTTCGACGAAAGCAAATGAAATGAGTTTTTCTCATGCAATGCAGACGACAAACGCAATGTTCTTTCTTTTTTCGTTTTATGGGGAGTTTTCATCCCGTCCGTGCCCTGTCATGTTGTTAATACAGCCCAGACTGAAAATCCGCTCGAATAATCGAGAAAATAAATATCGTAAACAACAATTTCTGCTGCTACGAACACAAATGTAGATTTGTTTTAACGTTTGTCTAGCATTCGGTCACACTGTTACATTGCGATTTGTTTCGTTTGTGTTTTCGATTTTAAAATTACGAAATGCCTGCAAAAAACCAACCAAAATTGGAAACGAAACTCTATTATAAATCTGTGTAGTTGGATGGTTAACTTCGTTGTAAAAAATAGGTAGTTAACCAACACGATGCACTGAGTTAGTAATCGGTTTAGGGATATTGTTTTTATCGAATCAAGGTGAATGTCATATGCATGTGCTCATATGCACCGTTATCTATTATAGATAAGAAGTTTTTACCGTACTGGCACATCAACAAGGTGTTATTTGTTTTAAAGGTACTCTCAAGAATTTTTAAACATTACATAAGAGTAAACAATGCGTTAAATGCAAGTGGTATGTACTGTGTCGTATTTAACACGTTACAACGATAAGGTTGTCAAAAAATCGGTCATTATATAAAAATAGACAACTGATTTTGTAATTTTTAATAAATCAGTGCATTAGAATTTGAATGTACTTGAGAAAATTTGTATCTTTTGCATTTCCTGTCTGATAAAGCAAACAATGAGACAGTGTTGATAATTGGTGTTTTTATCCTTAGTAAGATAATAGAATGAAGAACATCTGGCAGTACCATCACATAAAGACGCGGTTAACACCGTGCAGTCTCGCAATTATTGTTATCGAACTGTTGAAGGAAATGCCGCTGAGTGATAAAAATATTAAAAAACCTGTAGATGTTTATTTGACTTTACGGAACTACATGATAGCGAAATTGCCAAGTAATTTTTAATTGGTTCTAGATATAGGTGTTTTTTAATTTCAGTTAAAAAAAATGTTCTATAATATTTCTGTTCGAATTTTCTATATGTTCGAAAACGGTGTTTTGATGTACCCTAGGGAGAAGGGTTAAGTGTTGACCGAGTTGGCAAAGAGAAATTCATCGTTCTGCTTATGATTTAGTTATCAACATATTTTTAAATTATTTTATTGTTTTACGTGCAGGATGAGCTGTGGCATAATTCTGCTGGAAATACTCTCCAATTATTCTTAATTTGCAGCTGATTAATTATTAGGTATCTCCAAACTATTGGCGATTTTTAAAGCCAGCTTGATCGTTGATAATCACTTTATATAAGAAACGGTAATTAATTCCTGTAGTTAAAAATGTAATATCCACTGTAATTTCATCGGAAAAATTATCTTCTTCTTGTGCGTAAAAACTGTATATTAGTAGTAGCAGCCTGTACCTGTCATATAATATTCATAGAGAAGTACCAACGGTAATTTTAAATCTAATGCCACTCTCTTTTGACGACACTACAGTAATTTAAAAGGAAACTCAGCGAATTTACTAGTAAGTTGTTTCAATACCTTCACGTAGTATATTATAAAATTTTAATAAAACGAAACGTGGTAATATGTTTTCGGTCTCGCATATCAAAACTGTTGGCTTCAAGCGTGAGAAAAAGACATTCCAGCTTTATACAAGCATAAAAATACATTATGTCGGGTCTGACACCTAATTAATTACATCATCCTATTTAATGCAGTGCTCCACTTGGTATCTGAACATCTCTTTTTGTCATTTAGTAGCAGCTAAAGCGAATACTTAATTCAATGTTTGCCTGACTTTTGTAAACTTTTCTTTGTAAACGAGTAGGTTTCATTAAGATGGTAAATGAACAAATATTAAAGAATTACCTTCTGAAATTTAAAGACAAATTAAAAGAAACAAAATCAACATTGTCGTAATAACTGTTTGTTATTTGTAGAAATCGTGCTGTTTGCACGAGTTGAATACCCCAACTATTTATAACAGATTTTTTTCGATCGACACTGATTAAAGTCACCACAAGCACATAACTCTAGAATTTTCAGCACAGTTGCTTTTTCTCGCAAAATCGTGACTCGGGTAATAAGCGAACACAAGCTAAAACAGTCTAGTGCTTAAATGTTAATGCCATTATGAGTTCTTCATATAGCCCTTGTAATCAACCAACGAAGAACTTTCCTACAAAACTCGTTCCACAGAAATTGATTCTGGGGAATTTAAGTAGTCTTTAGCAAATAGACGGGAGTATTTATCTTGGTCCCTTTTAAAACGACTCGTATATAATTTCGTCATACTCTGAGAAGTTTACAACTTTACTATTTGGCTGACTGAAATGCTGAAAACTTAATCAGACTAAAGCTTTCATTCGCAAATAATATATGCTACAAAAGTATGAACAGACATAGATACTTAGTTGAAAAACCAAAGATGTGCTTTTTATAGGATACTTCATATTTTCTGACCAATAATTTTAAATATATCATATTAATTAGATCTTAAATTAATCTTTCCGCCATTATTTTGTTGTTATACGTGCTGTAAATAAAACGGGAACTTATTTGTACGGGTATATTAAATTTAAAAACATTTTTTTAACCGAACTCCATGTTGGGTTTACCATCAAGCCAAGCTGTTCGGTTTTCCAAACTGGTTCTATTTATACAATATGACGATGAAACAAATTAAATTCGGTTCAGTAAGCCTCCAAAATTAAAAGTGGGTTTAATGTATTGCTGCCTTATTTAGAAAATCCACTCACTTAAAAATTGTTTCAAAAACGTAAAAATTCCAGTCGAATTTTACCAGAAAAAGCATTAAAACTTCAACTTACATTTATGAAAACGTTGAAACGGTGAAATTTTAAATATGGTATTTTTTAAAATTACGCAAAATTCTTTATGTGTATAATTAAAAATGATTTTGGGTTGTAGTTAAGTCTGAATGTATTGTGCCAGACTATATTAAAACATTTTTTCGGTGTCGGACAGGAAATGAGTAATTTTCCGCTATCGGACGGTCGGGATACCTGTATATGTTGTGGTTAACGATAATGTCGAATATTTAGTCATTTTAACAGACTAAAACCTTCTAACCGGATTGTAATTAAGTATTGTTTATTCAGATTAGTGTCATTTTATCCAAAAAACGTATTTTTATTTGGATGTACTCCGTTAATTTTCTTTCTGAACATTTCACAGACTAAACACAGTACGGCCTATTTAGAGCTAAAATGTATAACTATAGAAAATAGCACGTTTCTGTTTTTCAACGATGCGGAATTACAGATAAAATTACACTTATCTTTTTCATTTAACTCTATAGCGTCTGCATTGAGCCAAACAAATCGGTTGTCTACAAAGCTCAATTTCAACCCTAAACTCCTCAGTGAATTTTCAAAGTTAATATTTACAATACAACATGATTAAAACAAACATATTGAAAGGAAACCTAAAATTTCAACATTTCTAGAACTCCTGAGCAACGTTAACCAAATATCAAGGCAACAACTGAACACTTTTCACGATCTCATGTATCTTGTTTGTGTGTGCTTTGTTCGCTTCACTAAGTTTTCGTATATCGATAACGCAAAGTCGCAGAAAAATTCGATTTCCGTTCTTTATTTTACACTTGGATAGTTCTAAATGAGTGCTACTAGTAGACAAAAATCAAACACAGCAACGGAATAACGTTTAAATTATTGAGAATTGAAACTTGGCAGGAAGTCAGTCGTCACATTCAATCGGAATGGGATTTAAGTAGACGTGAAACTCGACAATAAAGTCAAACATCGAACGAAAACGCCATGCATTATCCCCACACATGTGTCTGAGTACCAAACATCCACATTGGTATAGTGTGTTTCAAAATTGAAAATTTCAAAACTATATAATTAAAATATTTGGACAGTTTCTATATTGGAACACCTCTTGAGTAACCCGTTAAATAATGACAATGCGCTGTTCGAAATACCACACAAAAATAAACAGCTATTATTAAAATTTTATCAGTGGCAGTGATACTTATGAATATATTGTGTGTCTGTAGAAAAAGTTATGAACGAGATTCGTATCATAACGTCTTTAGTGCACTAGTGCGAAATGTGTCGCTTTCCATGCTTGTGTGCGACATACCGTGGACTCTTCCTGCTGAAGTAAAATAATCATTGGTTTTACGCAATTGCCGGCAGTGCAAATACCTGTACCTGGCTCGGCTTCAATATTCGTGCATGATGTCATGGCTACACCTACTTGATAGCCTCGCCACATTGTCTGTATGAAAACACGGCAGCAGGAAAGCGTGTCAGTCTGAAGCGTGCAAGCAGGATTTTCATTCATGCTGTTCTCCGAGTTGCCTGCAGTCAATGATCTAATAACTAATGGATGGA